AAAGAATTTTTGATGAACTACCAATGTTCAAACTCGTACGACTCATCAACATTTCAAAAAATACAAACAGTATGGCACAAGCCACCTCAATTTAAAAGTAAAAGGAATGACAACTGACCTAGTTAATCTTGAATGACTTGCCATCTATTTTTAATAATTCAACTCTCAACCTTAGGGCCAGACCTAAACTGCCCAAGTCAATAAGGACATCAGTAGGTAACTCTGATCGTTGACCGGTATGAGCCAAGACTTCAAGAATACATTCTACAATTCTGTAGACCGAAGCTGGATGAGTATCTCATGAAAGGATGCAGGCCAAGCGGATACAGACCACCACCCACATCCAGCATCAGGTAGCAGTGAAGACCAAAAAAACGGCCTGTCCAAGAACTATGGAACTCAAAAGCATTTACGCATTAAAGACTACACCACACTGCTTGGAATTTCTCTCCAGAGGCCCAGGATTTCTGTGGACCGACTATGAATTATTAGACCTCAGCTTGGATTTTGGATTATTCTCTGAATAACAGAAAATTCATAGAAAAGCAAATACTCTTATCTGTGTTCATCCTCTGATTTTCCTGGATGTATCTGTGTCACCACTATTTGCAATTTTAAAAGAACGTTTATTTAGTAGAATCACAGCAAGGATTTCACATGCAAACCATCGTGAGTTATTATTTACCTCGTTTTATCCTGTACTATAGTAAAGTTTCTTTTCCTCCCTCCCTCGACAAGGATCCTCCTCTACTACCCAGGATTTCATTCCTCCTCACACCTCTCTCTAAGTCCTGTCATTTTGTTGGAATTCAATATTCCCAGATCCACAGTGTCAATAAAGACTACAGAGAATACCTGATTTCAGGCATAACCTCATATCATCGGCAATGCAGTGGCCGACGGCCTTCACTTACTAACTGAGGGTAGCCATGTTTGCGTAAAGTTGTCAGTGCTATCAAAAGCAATACTGTGAGAAAAAATAGCAGAAATCAATCGGGGATGTACGACAAATGTATTCGACACTGAGGATCACGGAATATTGAATTCCCTAATGATTTCCGAAATCGAATGTCCCATGCGTCAAGCTTCAATAACTATTCCACGTTCAAATTTGTTAATTTCTGTTGTGCGATCATAATCACGCCAGAAACTTTTCACATTAATCCCTTAGAAATGAATATTTTACAAAATAAATATTGGCATTTTATATAGTAAATTATAATTAAAATTAAATTAATTATTTTGCATATCATTCACTCAATTTTTCTTGTAGCCCATACTTGGTGTGAAACCTGTATTTCATTAATTTCAAGCAGAAATTATGCAAAACCGACTCGTTTTTTCAAAAACATTGTACATGACCTTTTTAAAAGAGCATATTTTGTACAATAGACTTTGAGGCAAAAACCTTGATCTTCAATTTTGTAGTTTTGAGCAATACCCAAAAATGAGACTAGCGCCATATTTCTTACAGTTCCTTATTACATATGTGGAGAAAATTTTTAAAAAATTAGGAGCGATTTTGAGTCCTTTTTTATTGTATATTTCAATCTCAAAGTACGCAAAAACCATTGTTTTTTTTGTTTGTATTTTTTTTTTCAAAAAATTGTGCATATCTTTTTTGAAGATCTAATTTTGTATGACAGACTGTCTGAGACAAACATCTCTATCTCCAATTAAAAAAAGGTTTAAACATTTTCTTTTTTTTAATTTTCGAAAAATCGGGGATGTCAACGAAAATGAATCCTGCCCTATTCTCTTAAACATCCTTTGCATTGTTCAACAACGAAATTTAATCAAAAAAATTGGAACCATTTTGTTGTTTTTTTTCATTTAGGAAATGTCTCAGGGGCTTCATGTAATGTACTCCAAAAAATTAAAATATCGGTTTCAAATCCCAGAGTCCGCGACATCAACTAGAACGATTGGGGAATAACAATTTTGGAGAAAATCGTCTGAACAGTTTATTCACTGGCGTTGAGGACGGACGGACGGACGGACGGACGGACGGACGGACGGACGGACGGACGGACGGACGGACGGACGGAGAGGCGCAGACACACAGAAGTGTTGCGGTCAATCGATTTTTCGGTACGAAGGACACACAAAACGGATTCTTGCTACACCACGTATTAGAGGACTTTTTTTATATTTAGAAACTGCATTTATCCACTTTTTCCTTGCCAGGGCCCGGCAATAGGAGTTTTTGTGTTGAAAATTCGCCGTTTGCCGGCGCACGATTACAATACTTTCTCTTCTTACGTTAGTAAGTGCGAAAAAGTAAAAATATTGATTTAAGACTTACAAGTGATTCATTTCTAAGTCCGAAAATGGGTTTGACCACAAAGTGAAATGGAATCAAACTATTTATGTATTTTTTGACGAGGAATCTAGTGAAACAGTCATTTTATTCGTAAAATGTATTCATCGTGAAATTCCAAAAAAATCGCTAAAGTACAATCTTCAGTGAAAATAGATCCTTAGAGCGGAGTTAAGTTTCAAAAATATGATAAGAAATTACTGTGTATCTTAGAAGATTCTCTAAAGAATACAGTTCGTCTTAAGCTAATTACTTTAAAAAAATCGAAAAATTGCATAGATATGGCGGTAAATGTGAGAAAAAAGGGGGGGAAATACATTTTTTGATAATACATCACTATAGTACCATAAACAATTATGAAAAATTGTTTTTCTACATTACATTGGCAGTAGAATAAGATAATATCATCCTCATCTAGTTTGGTCATGGGCCAAATTCACCTATTTTATTCCGCTTTATCCTTTATTAACAAGTTGACTGTCAAAAACAAAGTGTTTTCTATTAGGCCAAAACCTAAAAAATAAGAATTCTTGAAAGTATTATTACAGAAAGTTATTTTATTGTGATTTCAAGTAATGCATGTGATATGTATATACCAGTTAAAATATACCAAAAAACGCTTCTATGCCAAGTATATCATAATAAAAGGAGAAATAATGAATTAAAGCAAAAAATAAGGACACTAGATACTAAGTGATGAGGCTAGTAGGGGAAATTTTAATTAAGGAGTTGATAACAAAATGGGCAGGGCCAGATGTTCCAGGTCTTCTAAAGTATAACAACTTTTTTTCAGTTTTCAAAACTTCTGGCTGGCTGATTTGGTTTGGAACCAGCGTTACTGCCTCTGTAGAGACTGATCGGTAGGTCCTAGGGTTCAAGTCCTGCGGGTAGCAGAGTTTTGAGACTGGCTACATACATAGAAAGGTCAAATTCAGACACTATCTGGAGGAGATTTTCTAGTGGCAGCTGCTCTGATCAGTACTTTTCCGTTTCCACTGTTTTTCTGATCAATACCAGGTGAATGCCGAGGCAATAACAAACAGACCACAGTGTATCCTTCCCCTTCCTTGTCCTATTCTCACCATTTACCGAACATACACTTATGCACTACACAGCACTACACTGCTGCACGTTTGGAACAAACAGGTCAAGGAAGAGGGGTTGGTGCCCCGTTGGTGAAGATACCTGGAGAAAGAAATTCTCCACAAGCCGACAAGTAGGCTGACACTGGTTCTCACCACTAGCAGAGAAGGATCATCGCCACTTCTCATGTTAAAACATTGACTCACAAACAAGAATAATAACCATAGCCTTTGACAGGTCTGGAAACATACGTTTCTGACCTTTTATGCATTTACACTATCTTCAGATCCTGGCACGTCTTTCACATTTTTCTATTTCTCTTTTCTTTTTCTTCTGTAATTGTCTGACAGTGACTTTGCCTGTTTTGACATTCAATTGCAAGATCTTGGTGAACTTTGCTGGCTTCTAGACACCTGTAATGAATATTGTTCAACAAACTCCAAATATATGTTCTAAAATTTTTGCCCTGAAATTCTTTATCTGCCTTTTCTTCCTTGTTAACTTTCTAAATATTATTGATGTATTTACCTCTGAAGATATCAAAAGAAAGACAACTCTGTGGTAATATCGTTGCATAATTTAAGCAAGATTTTAACGTCATATTTATGACTTTTTTCAGGTATATATTGTAAAAAGGAAAGTTGCTCTCTAATTGGTATCATGGTTTCATCAATGGTAATAATTTCACCCTGGACAAAGTCTTCAAATTTTCTCTAAAATTTGAATTTTCATGAAACTTGTGATCATGAGCCATCACCTTCTTCAGCAGCTTTATTGCCTGCGAGTGCAATGTGGGAGTGACAAAGTGATTTCTGTGCATGATTTTGTTTTAATGTAATTCTTGAACTGTACATTTCTTCTCAAATTATGGGTACTCCACTAGTCCTATTACAGTGTCGAAAAATTGACGAATTTGATGCATCATTTATGCACTACAACTTGCATTGTTATCATCTAGACCTTAGCATTTCTGTTGGCCTTAGTCACTATTAATTTAACTATCTCATCATCAAAAACAAGAGAAAAACATAATGACATTTCAAAGCATTATTATCTGTAGGATACATGGATTTATAACTAAAGCATTCTGGGCCCTATAGAGCTATAAATCCTTTATAGCCAGACTAGAACTAAAAGAAGAGAAAAAAAAGTGGGTGTGGGAAGAAGTGATATTGTGTGGTTTTCTTTTCTTGTAAGTGATTTTGCACCTTCAGCCCAATAAATAAAAGAAATTAATAGGTGATTTTGGAATTTATTGATAATATAGTAAAAAAATAGTTATGGAGAAGAAAGGCTCATAATGCAACCTGTTTTTAAAATATCTTGGAGAGATTTAGTTCAGATAAATTAAGATTGATGGACTATAAATATCAGTAATAAAAATGCATTGTCTATGAGGTAAAACAATGCATATACACTAACATACAGTTTTCAACTTCCATTTACACAAAATTAACTTCAGCCCATTAGGGGACCTTACTCTCTAGAAGCTCCAATTGTATTTTTCTTGACCAGTAAATAAAACCCCTTACAAATGACTACAACTGGCATCATACCACTCCCTATTAATTGTAAATTACGTCTATACAAAACTTACTAAAGTTTCTATCACCATCATCACCACCACAACCAACACTGCCACAATCATCGTCATCATCACCCTCATCCTCATCTGCCATGTCTTCACATACACCTGGTCTGCTTCCTTCTGAATCATTAAATTCAAAATCAGATTCTTTGAAAATCCTTAGTAACTCTTCCTTTTCCATGACTGCTGTTTTTGAACTTAAACTTTTATGAGATGTCCCATCACATGACGGTTCAGGATCCACATAAAACTAAAACTAGATTTAACAATAATTCAGTTTTCAAGTATCAAACAATTACTATACATAAATTAATTGCAAACACCACTATAAATATGACATTTAAAACAAGTAGATTTCGAATACATTAAAAATAAAAGAAACAAACAAACTAATGCCTGACTTTCTTTACATCACGAGTCAATAAAATCAAGAAATGAGAATTAAAGAATACATATGCAATAAAAACTAACAGCAACAATCTCAGAAACTAACACTATAGCCAAAAATCAACTGATAATATCCCATGAACTGTCATTCCAATCTCTAGGTCACTCCAATGACATCTACATTGCACGTTTCATCCAAAAGCCGGTTGCAAGCCGAGATTGTGTTACCTAGGTGCCACAAAAGGTATATTGTTCTTAGGCAGAACAGAACAAAACATGCAGCTGCTGCCTAGCCATGTGGTGTCCTGCATGAGTCACCATGGTGGTAAGCAGCCACACGGAAGTCAACATGTTAATAAAATAAATTTTGCAGGAAAAATGCACACCTTCATTGTATACCTAACAAGGAAGCAAAATTCAATATTGCTATATTGTGAACATAATGAAGCAGGAACTCATAATACTTTCACATCAACTTTCTAATGTACAATAAATGACATAAAATGTAATTTTGCACGAAATAATTCTAAAATCTTTGTTTTCATGTACACATGATTACAATAACATAGTACAAGTGTAAATGTTAAATAGTAATTAAAACAGAAGTAATTAACATTTTATTGCAAATAAAAAAATTAATATTGAAAATTAAAAACAACTAATACTACAAATTTAAAATAAAATAAAAAACTTTGGAAAGAATGTATGTAAAATGATTTAAAGATCTAATATTGCTTGATATACAGCATTAACAATGAAATCTCTAGATTCAATATTGAAGGTGTAGTTCGGGTTCAAAAAAAGTGAATTTAAAACAAAAAAATGTGAATCATCAATATTGTAATTTTAAAATTTTCAGCTTTTGCAATTAAAAAGAAATTGAATTATCAATTTCACCAAAAATGGGACTTACATAATTTTTATAAATGTAGTGTGCTCGTCTTGAAAAATTGAAGGAAAAATTAGAAGCTGTTTTAGAGAAAATCTTGTTTTTAAAATTGCCTATATTTCATGAAAAATTATGTGAAAACTACTCATAGTTTCAAAAAATTGTAAACAACATTTTTAAAGATTAACTGAAGAACAGATTTCATTCTGATCTCTGTTGTCAATTTTGTAGTTAAGAGAACAATTCGATAAACATTTTGAACTTTTGCAATTTTTTCTAAATTCAATGGATATGAGAATTGCGCCAATTCAAACTTGTAAGTTTTCTCTATCCAAGAAAAAATTAATATAAAAATTCAGAGCAACTTTTGAGAAAATTTTGAAGATGTTTAGCTTTTATGCAAAGTACCCCAAAATTAAGATATCCATGTCAAGTTCAAGGGGCTGCAACAGCAGCCACATCAATTGGAGAATATCAATTTGGTGAATATCCTGCCAACAGTTTAGCCACTAGCATTGTTCAAAGACAGACAGTTTTGCCATAAACCAATTTTTCGGTATTACAGACTTCGAAATGCAGATTTTGACTATACAGCATATTAAAGGAAGTCATTTACTACATACAGCAGCAAGAATTATTTGCTTTTCCAACATCTGGGACCCACAAAATTCATTTTTCACTACAGCATTAAAATACTTTCTCTACATTATGTAATTAGTATACAATAAAGAAAACGTTTATACCCTAGTATTTATATGATAGCTATTCTTTATACAAAAAAAACTTCAATAATGAATCGCGACTACCGAAAAAAAACTTATTCCAAATACTGGATTCTAACACATGTTGCCATACACAAACGCAAAGCCAGCACAAAATCTCATAAGAGAATACTTGTATTTTCAGAGCTCTAATGGTACGCATTCACTTACTTTGAGTCTAGAGGTTAATATTTCCTTAAGGATTTCACTACATCATACTTCCAAAAGTAAAATTTTACTAATATTAATAAATTCAGTGCACTACACTAAATATTTAGAAAGTACTGAATCCTCAAATCAATTCAGAAAAAGGCATAAAAATTATCTCACACATGTTTAAGAGTAAAACTGCATGGAAACTGCATACAGTTGACGATGTATTTTACTAATTTTTTAGTGTGTTCATTTGTCAGGGTGTGTGTTGTTTAATTTCAATTTTATTTACAGAAAAATCCCTGTTATACCAGTTATCTAGTAGATGATAGCAATACATAAATGTGCAGGCAATGCTGGGGTTTTTAAGCTACTACGATATAAAAAGTTTTGTTTCATGCCGAGAATTAGTATACATACAATCAGCTTAGAAAATCAATGTCCACAAACACTAACAATCCAATTAAAGATCAAATGATCAAATTTGTCAATAAATAATAATAAACACCATAGTTGCAAAACATCTTACATTAAAATGTATATTACTAACCCATCGAGCATCAAAAAAGTGTTCAACAGCAATGAAAGTCTCCAACCGAGGACAAGCTTTACTTAAATCACGCAATGCTCGACGTGGAGAACATGCTTGCGTCCATCTTGATGGAGGATTCATTAAATGCAAGCATCCTCTTGAAGCAATCAACTTTGTAGTTGGATGTAAGTACTCAATGAAATCTCGTAACTGACACAACATTATGTTGTGTGATCTTAAATCAACTTTAGACCACAATGTATGATCTCGTGACACTGCATCTAAACGCTGACATGTACTGAAAATATATCAAATGATTAGTTGTCTGTAAAACAAGAAAGCATGAAATTTCTAGACCTTTTGAACACAAATAATAAAATAATAAACACAATAATAGGTTCAGATTACAACCTCACAACCAGTAGCATAACAAAATGAGTGTGAACCCACCTGCAAAACTTTATAAGAGAGTATAGCTAACAAGTAATATTAGTATCTCATGTAATAAAAACAAATCCTATAACAAATTCATATTCAACAGTTCATGATTATGACATAAGAAATCAATGTTTCTAAGAGATTACAGCAGAACCTCTTTTATCTGGGCCCACCTGCATTGCAGGCCTGAATGTTACGCCACTGCTTACAACTTACGATTAGAGCTCAGATATGAATGAACTAAAAAAAGGAAAAGAGGTAGGTAAATACGCACTAAAACATTTCAAAATAGAGAAAAATTCTCCATAAAAATATTAAATATTCCATTTAATCATTATACATACATAAGTGAAGAAAACAATTTCACCATAAACAAATATAACATCAAATATAAATCAAAACTCACAGTAACTACACAATTAAGAACTATTCCAAGTTTTCAATAGTGAAATTATTATTTATTTCAAAATTATTTTGTAATGGAAGCGAGCACAGTCCCCATCACACCCAAACTTTAATGAAAATTAGTTCTCATCAAGTGCATCGTATTATAAGATATATTTGTGGTCTGCATCAACGTATACAGATTTCAAACACCGCGTATTTTCATCCAAGCTGAAAATAACTCAAATGTAGTTGAAGTATCTAACAGAACATAACTTCTCTCAATTGTAATTAGAATTTTCTATACATTCAGTAAATGTCTCATCTGGGAGATATTGTATGTATTTCATAGAAGCTGGGTGTTCAGGTTTCAAACGAATTCCTCCGGTTTTGCAGAAAGACAAGAACCGGTTTTGGACATTATTTCTCAGCCTGGATTGTGATTCAACACACTTGTAAATTTTAACTCAACAGCTTTATTTATCTCACCTAGCACTTCACTGCGGTATGTTGCTGATGATGCTAATAGCGTCTTTCGAACACAAGATTCCAATTCGAACACTCCAATTTTGTGATGGTTTTGGGTAGATATCCAAAATGTGATTTTATGTACGCAAAAAGTCAGTTTTCATATTTGGGGATGACAACACAACTTCCTTAGCTTCCTCAAAGTCACCTTCTACATCATTGAGATCCCATAAAAACTTCTATTTATCTTATAAAATGTTCACATAATATATGGCAGCTTGAAGCCAGGACCCTCATTTGGCCAATAGAGATTACGGTAGAATTGGAATATTGGGAAAGCTATCTTGTATGCTGTGTTCTGGGCTGTCTGGGTGACGTCGCATCGAACACTGAGGTGCCCACGTTTCAACCAACATTTCTTGATTTTCTTCTCAGTACTACAGCCCTGAAAAAAAAACATGATATGTTGGTCAAAATGTCTGCATCTCAGCCCCAAAATGTGGCGTCACCCAGGCAGCCCAAATCATGACATGGGAGCCTACATAATTTATTTTGAATGCTGCCACTCTGCTTGGAGCTTTCAGAAATACTTTTCTCTTGTGGAACTAAAATGGAAATGCTGACAATCTTCTTCTGTAACATGATGAAGAGCATGAGTTGCACAACTAATGTATATCATATTCCAATAGACATTTGAACTTTAGTCAGATTAGAACATATACGACATTACATTTGTTAGAAGAAGTAAACATTATTTTCACCAGACAAGAGGATATGTATATGAAAGGACAGGAATGATGTTCATTACTTATCCCTGCCCATCATCACAGTACTAAAATGCTTCCGGACCTACTTCATTTTACGTTTGGTCTCTGTTTTCATCATTATAAAGGCGCTTGTTTGATTTATAATACCATTGCTTCATAATTGTGCAAGGGTTTTAAATCTCCTTCGTAGTCGTCGTCATCCGCGTCCTCATTCTCCTCGTCTTTGTCGTCATCATCCATTACCTACATCAATCATTGGTAAATGTTATTTATATTTTAAAGTCCAATCAGAAGTTAAACAAGAGAAAAACTTAGCATCTTTCCCTGCCAGCTTTGTAGCTATGCTACATAGCTTTATGGTAAATCCTTTATCAACACCTCTGTTCTTATTGTTTGGAGAGCTCACTTTCCTTGCAGTCGGTTGTAATGTACTTTTCCATCAGTATTTGCTAGCATTATCTCAATATTGTATCTTGGAATCCACTCCATGCCCTTGCTTGTAACTCATTGAACCTCAGTTTACTGTGGACTGTAATTACATGATTCCACTTTGGCACTGTGGCACAAAATAACCTACTGATATTGAATTGATTTTGCTGCTGTTGGGGAATCTGAGGTTTGTTTCTTTAGATGGTTTCAAAATTTACTTTTCATAGTTTCATTAATTTTCTTATATCTTGCCAATTTTACATCTGTGTCCTCTTTCCTTAAGGTAACCTTATATATAATTCAAGTACCTTCTCCTCATCTAACACAAAATTCTTTACAGATTGGGGTGATGAAATACAGAAAATTGATACCTGGCCTATCTTGGTAATATAAAATTATGAACGACTGCAGGTAACACGTCACAAATTACAGGATGATATTAAACTCCCATATTAGTAGTTCATTATAGTGAATAATAGAAAGCCATTTCATTTCTTTAATAATAAATTTTAGGTTTTTTCCATTTCAAAATTTCCTCTATCAGTAATAAGTTTTCAAACTGGGGCCTGTAGCCCTCTAGGGGGTCTCACATTTTAGGGAGACCCTGGAGGAGCCACCAGATGAAATTTTAGTCTATTTGCTATGGTTGTCACTAGTTGCCATGTCCATTGACGGAATCCCATTTAGTTCCTCTGATATTTGTTGGAGTTGTTTAGGCACACTGGAATCTGGGCATCAAGCATGTGTGAATTGAAAATTAGGTCCTATGATCCCAGAAATCACACATACATGCAACAGCCTGCCCATTCCTCTGCCACAGGAACACGCAGCTGTCTCATCTCTTTAGCGTCGTCCTCTTTTGTCCGGCATATGTTTGTTTACTATTCGTTCTAAAAGCTTGCACACACAGCTTGTGAGCGAGATTTGGCAGTAACTTGAAGGGATTGTTCTGCCCTTTCCTTCTTTAGGGATTGGAATAACAATGGATTCACGCCAAATCCTTGGTAAGGAAAGTTTATCCCGAATCAAGTTGAAAATGCGGAGAGAAAAGAATGAGCATTTTCCGGCAGGTGTTTAAGCATTTGATTATGTATCTGGTCTGATCCTGGAGCTGAATCTTTTGCACAAGCGAGGGCACACGAAAATTCATCTATGGAAAAAGGAACATTGTAGCATTTTGTGAGTTTTTTCAGGTAGTGAGCCTATGAAATGCTTGATTTGAATTTTTTTTGTTTATGAAAATTAATTAATTTATGTAACAAGTTACATTTTTTGTAACAATCCGTTATATCTAAGCATTAAAAAAAGTTATGACTATTCTTATGCCTACACCAGATGGGAGGAATACTTCAAGGGATAAAATAATTTCACTGCTTTCCCATTTTTACTCTCCATGAGTCTCAAATATCTGCGCTTAAAAAGATTACTACAGGCATGCTTACATATGAAAGCTTGTTCTTTATGACTTCACGAAAAACACTGGTAATGACACTATACAACAAAGGCGCTATGACTTTTAGAACACACTCCATACTAGAAATCTAAAAACTAACATTATTCACTTCTCAAAGTAAATTTAAACACAAATGATTATTGAAAAATCTTGTATAAAGTAAAAAACTAAAATATCAAAATCACTGTAAAAGTCGTGATTGTGTTTTTAAATTTCCGCGTAATCTGAAAACCCGCCTAAAACCGCACACGTTTTGATGCATTTCCGTCTATTGGACGGTATTTTGCGAAGTCCGTTTTAGTCCCGCCAGAGAGCCGTTTTCCAGCCCAAAAAGCGGAATTCCGCTCACTCTGGCAACCCTGGCTCGGTTTCCCGTTTAAACTCTTAACATTTGAATTAGATGTGAAAAATCTTTGAGACGAAAGCAAGCAAGTTTGCGAAAACGGAATCAAAATGAGAAAAATATGACGAAAATACGAATATTCATGGAAAAATATGACTAAAATATGAAATATAAGTTTTAAAAAATGACAAAAGGGTAAAAAGCAAAAATATGACAGTATATGACACGAATAATTGCATGATTTTAGTGATTGTAGATAAAACTATGCTCAAGTCATATTTTCTACGGAAATAACTCAAAAAAAATAAGAAAAAATGACATGTATTGGAAATCTGGGTCCTAGTTATGACTCATGATTTTAGGCACGAAACTGTTTAATATCTAAGTAAATAACGTTTGAAAGCAAAATATTATTAAAAAAGATTTAATAAAATAGTATATTCACAGTAACGCTAAGTATTATTCCATGCCATTTTATAACACTTCACGAATTTATCAATGTATGTTTTTAGCTTAGCTTAATAAAATTATCCTTCACTTAATTATTATTAAATTTCTTCTTAAAATACAGAAACAAATAAATATTTAATAATATAAATTGAAGATCCACGAAATGAAATGTGTGTGTGTGTATAAGATTGGACGGCTAGTTGCCCCCCTTGCCACTGGGAAAGATTTCCTCAAATTGGGGACCATGTCAGTTAATGGGTTACGAGAGAACATCTAATTGGGCTAATTTCGATTAAGGTCATTATTAGGGGACGGATTTTAATGATTTTTTTCTTTTCACTTTAGAACAATTAATTTTGTTATGACAAAAGGAAATAACACATTTGTATAAGTTATTTTTTTGCATTTTCTTGTATTTCGACTAATACGTCATTTTTTACGTTTTTAAGTCATTTTTATAGCATTTTTTTTACTGATTTCGTCGATTTTTATTATTTAATGGTACTTGCATCAAACAATATTTACGTGATGCAACAAATGTTCACCACAAAATTCCTGAGTAGCCTATTCGATTTCTTTGCTCATATATTGTAATGTCAGCCTATGTAAGTAGTATGAAATCAAAGATTCCTGTGACGCCTATCGGCGCCTTTGTCAGTTCGGCCGATTTCGCGATAAATAAAGGCAGAAATTGCCGATCCGGTGGCTGAGATCGCTAAGGCCGTAGTGCCGTAGCGATCTCGGACCGAAGGATCGCGGATTCGAGTCCCGCCTCGAGCATGGTTATATTGTGTTCGTCCTTTCACCCCTTATCATATCGTACCATCCTCACAGTTACCATACCGTTACAAGCAATAGTGGTCGCTAATGACCTAGCAGTTGATGCGACCTTAAATGACAAAAAGGCAGAAATTTTCTTGTAAACAACACATTAAACCAAAAGTTCGAAGGCCGAGTTCACTTCAACCAAAGGAAGAAGCCTCAATTACAGTAGTAACATATCCAACGCCTTGCGTTGTTCAACTGAAGCGATTTTGATCAAAAGTTTAACATCATTTTTCTTTGTTTTTTGGGTATTTTAAAAACATTTTAAGAGCATTTTATTGATAATTTGGCAATGTTTTAGGTCATCAAAATCCGCCCCCAAGTTATATTGACGCTATATGACGCGACAGCCGTATTATAACCTGACACCATGTTCAAACGAATTTACCAATTTGAAGTTTTTCCACAATTTGAAAATACAGAGTGCGCCGAACATGGGACTAACACTACTTTCTTTATCGTTCTTTGCTACATACGTGAAAAAAATGTAGCCGTTGCTGAGAAAATATTGTTTGGAATTTAAAAACTGCCTATGGTACCAAATTACGCCAAAATAATCATTTTCGAAAAACTGAACAAGACCTTATTTGAATATGTGTTTTTGACGAGCACATTTCTGAAGAAAAAAATCATAACTATAGGTGTAGCAAAAAGTTGAAAAAAATTGAATTTCTGCAATTTTCGAAAAATGAGGGATTTATACGAACACGAGATCTGCACCAATCTCTTAAGCGTTCTTTACGCTATCCGAGGTAAAAATTCAATAACAAAAATTGGTGCCTTTTTTTAAAAAAATGTTTAAACAAAATTAAAAATATTTCCTCCAGAATTAAGCGAAAAATACTCAAATTTTCTGTCTTTGAATAACAAATTTCATTAAGGAAAAAAATCTTTATCTTAATGCTAGAAACACGCCGGAAGAAACTTTTGCAATTTTCAAAAAATCAGTGATTTCAACAAAAATGAGATCTCGCCATTCTCTTCGTCTTTCACACCACCCAATAACAAAATTTAATCAAAAGAATTTCGTGCCATATTTTTAATATCCCAGGGGTTACATGTAAAGCGCCTTCCAAAATTAAAATATCAGTTTGAAATTCAATGGGCGTGACATCACCCAGATCGACAGGAATATCAAATTTGGAGAAAATCGGCCGAACGGTTTAGCCAGTGTTGCTCACAGACAGACACACGTTTTGCCGTCAATCAATTATTCGGCATCAAAGACCCTCAAAACGTGGATTCTGGCTACGCCACGTGTTAGATTTTTCTATATTTAGCAGCTGGATTTATTGACTTTTTCGTTATTAGAGCCCGGCATTTTCAGTTTTTGTGTCAAAAATTCGCAGTTTTTTTCCGCAGCATTACAAAATTAAAATAAACCTAATATAACTGCAGTTGCGTAGAAGCACAGGCTGCGTTTTTTATTCAGGACGTTTTTAAAAACACCCTGAATAAAATAACCAACATCACATTGTCTTAAAACAAGTTAAGTAAAATAACTTAAAAGATATTATCTGTTCTTAAGTTTAACAACAGATATTTCTGATATCTTCAAAGAAGTATTAATATGGAGTCTGGTAAAGCAATATTGTTATAAACAGCTATCTATTTTCCATTTCACAGTTTTTCTTTTATATAAAATAAGGAAATAACAAATGTCACTTACCGGCCAAGATTCATCAAATCTCGCTGATCAAGTTGACCCATCAAAATTAACAACACATCATCAGATAATCTTAATAATGGTGGCAACATCTGGGAACTGTCTTGTTCCATGTTATTACATGATCTATCAATTTCATCATTAACTTCCTCATTAACATCATACTTGGCCCTTTTCAAATTAGCACTGTAAGAATCCTCACTTCCATTTAGATGCATTATGCTTTTAGTCTTCACCCTGCCAAGGAATGGACAAGTATTAAGGTAAATAAGTTTTCTAACACAATTTAGGAGCTGGATGGAAGATCTGTGTAACCTGGGTTAAGTAGTTTTTCTGTTTCATGGCTCCATGTACATGAAAATTCAAATAAATAACTAGAATACAGGAGAATATGAAGAACAAGAGGTTGCACAGAAGCCATTGGCCTATTGAACTTGTAATGTTTGGCATGAACAGCTCCTGTGTCAATTCATTGTGTTGGTTGTAGTGCAATCCTTATAATTACTCTTACATACACTTGAAAGTTAATTTTTCTTTTTTTACTTATTTTGTGGTGATACTAATACTAATACTAATAATAATAATAATAATAATAATAATAATAATATTTACTGAGTCACATTTACAATTGCAATCGTGTATGACGAGTCAATATGATGCCTTGGGTGGAGAGTATACTGTATAGGGATACTGTATTTGATTTAACAATTATGAGTGATAAAAGTATCCTAAACACTCTTTTAATCTTATATAATCTACATGAAGAGGAATTATTCAATTTTTTAATTTCTAACTTTATCCTAAACATGTACCTTGTTTCCAGAACAACTTCAAACCAAGATATGGAAAGAATGAAATAACATACAGGAAAATAGCTTAAGACTTTCTGTTGCTAATATTGTTATATTTACATTAGGGATACAGGTTCTTTAATTCTCTTAGCTGCAATCCAGTGAAAGTAATAAAATAAATGAACTGCATGTCTATACTACCGATGAAGAAAATATGATAAATTCATAAATGAAAACTTTAAATTATTTTTTCTCAAAACTGTGTTTCAGGCATCAAACCATCCAACTGCTCAATTCATTGAAACTATATATGCAAAGTACATGAATTACAATAATCATATAATTCTTCACAACTTCATTTTTGATGTTTGTATTTCTATTTACTATAAGTGAACTATTACAATTACAAGTTTTTCACAAATCAGAAATAGTTTCAAAATTAATGGAAATGAATTATGTGTTTCATAATCAAGAGATGTAACAAACATATTACCATTCCAGGAGGGAAAAATGATGAATCAGTATTTCACCGATAGGATGATGATCAACTGCTGTACGAACAAGGCTAAAAGTTAATTTGGTAACACAATCATTTAAAAACTATACAAAATAACATTCTCTAAAGAAAAGCTATTTTCAGGCTTATTGGACTATTTATTTTAAATGGTACAACAACTATAGAAAAAATCTCACAGAAACTTGGTTATTTCAGTGGTATTCTGTGTGTGTTCTAGAGAAAACATCTAGGGACAATGCAACATTTTGAACCACTTTCCTTCCAATCAATAAAGATGAACAGTACTAGAAAGTGGTTATCTCTGCATAAATGACCACTCAAACATCAGGACACACTGGTCTAAAGTAGTCCTACTGCATGGACGGGTAAATTGTGGAAGATCTATACTGATATGGAACCTACAATTCATAACAGTTTTCAGACCAAATCACTCCACAATTCAATGAGCACCAAAATCTAAATGTTTAAGACAACTTGACTGCTCCATGTCAAACCATAGTACCTGAATTTCTTTTCAAAAATGGGTTGTACACAGAGTTGGGCAGTATCGAAAATACTTGTATTTAAAATACATATTTTCGATACTTTTGTAATTTGTATTTTGTATCGAAAATACTTTGTGATAGTATTTTGTATTTTCAAAATTCAAAAATACTATTTATTAATCCGCCATTGAAAATATGAATTTAAACATACAGTCAATCATGAAAAATACAAACACGTAAAACATGATTTTTTTTTTTTTTTTGAAGCAATTTTCCATTCGCTGCAGCAGAATTTAAAAGAAAGTTTTTGAACTCAAACGTTTGGTTAATCGAAGAAAACTTATTTCCGAGATATCGATTAACGGATTTTGGAGACAACTTCACAGATAGTCATATGTCATATGATGTCACATTACACATCACCAACTGTCTGGAAGGTGGTTGGGCGCTTTACTTGCACCGTGAGCTTAAAAGCTTGTGCTTGCACCGGGTAAAGAGCTCATCTTCAGATTTCAATGAGGAAATTGATGAATCAACAAAATGAGGTATTGTAAATGGAACATTTTTCTGTTATTGAAGAGTACGGTGCAAAGTGAAAGAGTCGGGTAAAATTTGTAAGCCTGTAAAACTGACAATAATGAGTGGTTCCAAAAATGCGACCACAGATTTTAAGACACTTCAAGCTAAATATAATAATCAATAATATTAAACCTTTTAAAATTTACACAATGGTTCAATAGACTGCAAATTTCACTGCTCATTCTCTTTACTAGGGAACAGATAATTTCTTTACACATTTTTGAGAATTTATCTTGGTGCGATGATTGAATATGGGAACTGTAAAAATGAGTGGTCCAGAAGATCAAACTCACATAAGAAGAAAATGAGCAGCACAGAGAATAGTGAAACTAATGCCAAGAAGTGAAAACAACCTTAACGTCTGGTTTCTTAAATAGGCAGGAAAAAGTTTTAAAATACTATTTTGCATCTAAAATGCAGTTTTGGGAGTATTTTCAATTTGGTAACTATCTTTCGATAAAGTATTTTGTACCTGCAATACTTTTTTCAAGTATTTTGTCCAAATCTGGTTGTACATACTATTGCACAAACATGCTATTGCATAAAGGCACCCTTTTTAAGCAGTTTTATTAGTGAATATATTCAGTAGATTCAAGAATTTCACTAGCTTAAAACCCAGTATCTACACACTTAACTAACTTGTGCAAGGAAAGAAGTATTTGTAAAAAAATTAAAAAAAATAAAATGAAACAACAAAAATCTTAACATTACATTCAAACATAAAGCACATACGCATGCAGATTCATATACGATGCAAATAAGATTGTTGTTGTCTTTTTATTCTATTATTATTTCTTGAAAATGTATTATTTGCTTTAAATAATTTATTTTAATATACAATAGCATGTCTGTGATAGGTCCGATATTTTACCTCTCCTCACAAAAATAAAATCATTTACAGGTATCTTCATTATACGAGTATCACTTCATTACCCATTCAAATTAAGTAGTATGAATTACAAATGGGATAATTAACATAATGTAGAGTTAATTTGGTAAAATAATGAACTTATAAATTCCCTTGAGAAACTTTTAATTAAACCTTCATTGAAATAACTATGAAGTAGCAAACATGGATGACATTTTTTTGGCACTATTGAAATAAATTTACGAGTTCTATTCAATACATTAGGAGCAGTAACAAATCTTATAAATCAAAGTTAATGTGACTATAAACTAATTTTCGAAATTGTTAATCTAGAAATATCCACTTCCACAATATGATAAATAAATTTCAGACGAGACAAAATTAAAAAGAAATTGAGAATGACTAATTGAGAACTATTTTGGTAGTAATTATAACAGTATTACTAGAACCGAGACATACAATGTTGCATTATAATAGTTGATAAAACTACGTGCTAAAGCGGCTAGGTGGAAATGTTTTAAGTAAATGCATAACAATTTACATCTTTTTAATAGTTTCTGTAATTTTGTAGAGCATATTTGAAAAAAATATCACATTTTTTGTTGTTTTTTAAATAATTTTATGTTACTGGTGTTTTTAAACCAAGTGGATGGCACACGTAATGGTCAAACACGGCATGGCACGTGTAATTGAAAATGTACACACACTAGTTCTTTCGGACAACGTGACACAGTAGTAATTATAGGTGGGCAGAACGACATAAATCATGGCAGTAAATTTAACCCAGAAGAACATCTACAAACAATTCTAAAGAATGCCACACACACTAATGTCATCATGACTACTGTGTCCCCCTGGCACAACATTACCATAAACAATGAAATCAAAATTATATTATGTGGTGATTTTAATATAAACTGTTTGTCCAAATCAAATGAAGAAAAAATATTCAAAAATGTACTTAAATCATTCAACTTACAAACTATTATAAATCAACCTACAAGAATATCTAAAAAAAGCAGTACTGCCATTGATCAAATAACAATAAACACAAATAATTGCTGCTATTCAGTTGTTTCATATAACACAGGGTTTAGTGACCATTCAGCACAAATACTCAAACTCAAAATGGACACAAAAGTTATTAAGGAAACACTTTATACAGAAAGCTAAAACTTCTCTCAGGAAAATATACACAAATTTATCTCTTTAATAAGTTCAGAAAACTGGGAGGAGATGTACAAAGTAACAGACAAGAATACCAAATTTAACTTATTCATAAACATATCCCAAAATTATTTCAACACTGTTTTCCCACAAACACTGAAAAAAATAAAAAGCAAAAACAACAAATTATGGATAACCAAAGGGATCAAAACATCATGTGAAAGAAAACGAATAATGCATGAAACAATCCTTCACCACTAATGTAGCTCTGATTTTATTAAAAAACATACAAAAGTATCTTGAAGAAAGTAACTAAACAGGCCAAACTGTTAATGAATGATCAATGTATTGCCAAAGCACAAAACAAAACAAAAAAGCAATGTGGAACATTGTGAAAAGTACTCGAAAAACAGAAACACTAAGAACATTGAACTTCATAACAAAAATAATTTCTGCACAACCCACAAGCAGTAGCACACAATTCAATAGACATTTCTCAGAAGTTGGAGAAAAATTAATTCATGCAAACTCCTTAAATAATATAATTATGCAGTCAAATATCCAAACAAAAGATGTGAACTCCACATGTATATCTGTGAAACATCACCTGCAGAAAGACAAAAAAACATCAATCAAATGAAAAACAAATTCTCTCCTGGATTGGATAATATCCCTGACACCCTTATTAAACATACTGTAACTAACATAATAGAACCGCTTACTCACGTTTGAAACCACTCCTTAATACAGGTATCTCCCCAGAAATTCTCAAAAAAGCGAAAGTTAAACCACTATTCAAAAGGCAACACTCACGATCTCATGAATAGCCGGCTCATAAATAACAGGCAGATATCCTTACTATCTGGATTCTCAAAAATTCTAGAAAAGCTTTTTAATGATAGACTCAAAATTTTTTTCAATTCAAATAACATACTGACAGAGGTCCAACATGGATTCAGAAATGGTATCTACAGACACAGCTATCTTTACCTTTCTAAATGACATACTTGTTGCTCTAGATCAGAAAAAAAAACCCATTGGTTTGTTACTAGATCAAACAAAGGCATTCAACATTATTGACCTTTACATACTGTTATCCAAAATTGAAAATTTGGGAATTACAGGCATTGCACATCAATTGGTTAAATCTCACCTCTCAAATAGTTGTCAAGTAGTCACAATCAAGCATGTTAGAGATAAAAAGATTCCATTTTTCCCAACCTAGAATGACAAATTATGGAGTGCCGCAAAGATCAATCCTAGGGCCCATATTACTTTTATTATACATTAATGACATGCCCCTGACCCTACAAAAGAGCAAAATGGTCCTATTTGCAGATGACACAAACATTATTATTAAAGCAAATACCCAATAAATTCTACAAAAAGAAGCATAAACAGCCCTACAGGCACTAGTAAAATGGTTCCAGAGAAATAAACTCAGCAAAGCCAGTAAAACTGTCTCCCTAAACTTTCAGAATCCTCTCTCTAAAGAAAAGCCCCCAGCACAATTAATGGTAAAAAAACATGCCTGTAAAAATAGCCCAAAAACAACTTTCCTTGGATTGACTATTCAAAATGATCTAAAATGGAACTCCCATATCACAAATCTAAACAACAAGCTTGCCAAGTCATGTTATACCATATACATCCTGAAGTCAAATTCTAACTTAGATACACTGCGAATGGTGTACTTTGCAAACGTTCACTTGCACCTAAAATACGGAATAATATTCTGGGGATTTTCCCCAGAAAGTATTCACACTTTCACCATCCAAAAACTAATATTGAGAACAATGACAAACATTCACAAACATAAGTCCTGCAAAACACTGTTCAAAAAATTACAAATACTACCACTCCCATGCATGTACATATTTGAAGTATTAATCTTTACAAAGAACACACTTATGGGAAACAAGGATTCTGTTACTCTGAACACATTGAATTAGTGAGTTCATAACCATGATACTAGACAAAAAGGAAATCTGCATGTTCCATACAGTGAAACTTCACTCTTTCAAAAAGTACCCTTATTGAAGGCATTACACTATATAATAAACTTCCTAGTGAATTTAAAAGCTTAAACTCATTACACACATTCAAAAATAAACTGAAAGCTTTCCCATTAAACCACACATTCTACAGTACCAAGGAAGTATATATGCATCATAAACACGTATCTACATCAATATAAACTAGTACCAATAATTTTTGCTTTTTCTTATGCTTGTTTTCAAACCCCCCTAAACTGGTTGTTGGATGTAATAATAATAATAATAATAATAATAATAATAATAATAATAATAATAATAACAACAACAATAATAAACAATATTTAATGGGTCACATATACAATTACAGTTCCGTATATGACGAGTCATCTGTTTGATATATTTAGAGGGAGTACACATCGCATACATCTTCTAGGAGCAGCGAGAGAAGTTTCATTTATTTTTATTTAAAGGACAGACCCAGGCCTAGGACATATCTGTGAAGAATTTCTTTTTTATTATTATTATTATTATTATTATTATTATTATTATTATTATTATAATTATTATTATTGATTTTTAACTTAAGACTCCTTACACTACCATTATAAAATTAATAATATTTTAAATTATAGCTTTCCATGATATTGTATTTAATACAAGAATTGAATTTTAAATTTAATTTACGTCTTGTATTTAATTTTTAGAAATATCTGTATTGTGTATTGTATGATTATACACATATCCTGACTTGTAATACATGGTGTTTGCTGTATTTATGTGACAAATTTATCATTATCATTACTATTACTATCATTCCTATTACTATTATTATTATTATTATTATTATTATTATTATTATTATTACTATTATTACAGAAATCTTGATGTATGAAACTTACTGTACTCATTTTACTACAATATAGTTATTATTAACTGAGCCCCTGAATTTGTTTACTTGTTACTATGAAACAAGTAAGCAAAACATGTTTGACATATAAATGGTCACAAAAATGTAAATAGTAGAAGATAGCTTAGCAGGGCAAGGAACATTAGAGAATGAACTATTCTTTAGCATTTAGTTAAAACCACTGCTTTCTGGATGACTTCATTCTAAAGATATGAAGTAAATGAGAGACTCGTCATTAAAACTACTAGTATTTTCACAAATGTTCACAATGATGCATATATCATTTTATTCAGAAAACTCTAAATATTTAGAAAATGTTACATTTGCAAAAACATAACAATTCAGGTGCTGGCGTAACGACCCCTTTAAACTCATCAGTAATTTCAGGGAACACTCACCAACAGTTGTTGAGATTTTTTTAAAAACAATGACGATTTGTATCTTCCGATCTACAAACAAACCACTGGTAAATCATTACTCACAGTTGTGACCCATTCTTTAGAAGATTTTTCTTGCAAGAATGTGGTGTAATCATGTAAGGCACCAACACTGTTAAGGCAATAAATGCAATATTAATATTGCAGCCAGAATTTCACAGGATAATTTCAAATGACAAAAGATACTTTTAACAGAAAGAAGAGAACTATTCAATATCATAATTGTAAATATCAGTAACTGAACTACTGAACAAAGACTTCACAAAGTATACTTCAGAACATTAATGACTGGAAAGGAATTTAGATAATATTTGCTAAGATGACATTTAGTTCTCTTAAAATATATTTTTGTAGGTTAATAGTAAATTATTATTCGTTATCATATGATAAGACTACTCAACAAAATTAAGACACCATACATCCAACACACACTAATGAAAATTAAGAACAGGAATACAAAATTAGTTTTGCATCGATGCTCCAAAATGAAATTCAACAATTCGAAATTGCATAGAAATGAAATAACATTTAAGAACTTCTGATATAAAATCAAAATTGTGGATATGAAAGCAAACTACAATTCACAACCAACAAAATGTTTTGTGAATGTTCTGAGAGGTTTACATGATTAAGAATCATCAGACAGAATTTTACATTTAACAATGCATTTTTGGAAAAACAAAAAACCTTCTGATCAGACTTTTGAATTTAATTTACATCCCCATTACTTGAAGAGGGGAAACTTACCTCCTCTTCACCCTTCTGGTGTGTTGAAGTGATTTACCACACCAACAACAAAAGAGTATGGCGTTAGTATTCAGAACTATCTTCCCCCTCTTTTCCAAAAAAAAAAATGAGTTACCCATAAACTATTTACTCACAAATAAGCAGTTGCAATTTTGGACCCTTTTGTACTTTTTTGTGACAACACATGGTACAACTAAAAATATATCAACTCCTAAAAAAGGGTAAATTAAATGGTACAAATAGTAATAAATGGTACACCGAGTTCCATTTTTTAGCATTAATTATTGTTCACAAAATTAAAAATACAATGCTGAAACTTTACATTAGCTTATCAAATTGTTTATTTAATACACTATTTCAAATAACAACAAATAATATTGCTTACATCAATCCAAAGAATAGTTGACGGAAGAATTTTTGGCAGTACATTATTGATTTCGATATTGTGCATGGCAAGCAAGTACACTCTTAGAAAGAAAAAAATCATCTTGTCATAACTGTTAAAATGTTTGCTAACCTTTGCTGAGCATAATACTTTAATTGTATAATTCTCTGACAACAGTGGCATTAGCATTCAGAATTACTTACTCCTCTTTGCCAAAAAGAAGCTATCCATAACCTATATAATCACAAATAACCAGTATGCAAAGTACACTGTTTACTAGCCAAAGATTACTACCAGATTACTGTACAAACTATTATGGTACATTATAAGAGCAATAGCATATTTCTTCTATTTCAGCTTCAGAATCATCAGTTATTCATTGAATGGTTTGACAGCTCCTGTCCAAACTAGACACATTGCAGCCGTAATAAATCAAAGACCCCCCCCCCCAAATGTACTCATTTCTATTTAAACACTGGGATTTAGTGTTTTATGGTGTTTTGCTGACTGATCCAGTGAATCTTAATTAATATAATTAGTTCAGTACATTTTAATGAATGTTAGATAAATACATAGATGCATTTAGTTTTTAAAGTTAAAAACTTGTAATTTGATCAAGATCATAAGCCATGAAAGTTAATAATTATGATTTTGTTGCTTAAAACACAAACCAAAAAACAAAAATTTCAGAAAACATATCTCCTTCAACATCAGAAGTATTTGGGTAACTTTTTCAAAGATAATACAAGTCATTCTTCAACATATTCCTTATACCTAAACACAAAATATGAAAGAAAAAAAAAATAATTTCTCATTCAAATGAAATCACAGACAACAAGCAACCACATTACATAGATTTTGACAGATGCATTTAGATCAACACAACTACTGTCAAAAATGTTGATCATTTAATGAAGATACATAAATCTTAAATAAATTTCTAAAACAAACTCCATTTCATAAGCAACTCAATCAAACGAAAGATTTACCACCTGTTAATTGCTCCTCACCATATACTATCATAAAAGAATAATAGAATAATTTTATATGAGAATATAAAAATTGTTGTGTTGCTTTTCCTATTAATGTCTTTAATAAAACTTGCCATACAACAATGCCCCAGAAATTATTTGTTGTATGGATATTATTTTTCAACTACTTATCATCCATGCTAAGATTAAGCAAGGTGGCTCAGTGTAATGATAATTTATCTTCTTAAAAAAAGTATTTATCTCCAAATACTACTTACACAGTTGACGATTTTTCAAGAAACCTTCTCTAAATCTGACAAGAATGTCAACCTATTCAAAATAATAAATTTCTTAAACACTAATGTGTTTACCTTACTACCACTGATGGCTGATGAAGAGCATCACTTCAACTACTGTCTTTCAACATTTCGCGGCAAAGGAAAGGAATCATTTTGATATTCTTTACATTCACCGACACCAAGACATTTAAAGCTAATAAAAGCACCAAATGTCACTTGACACAAGATTCTCCAACGATACCCATATGATTTTTAGAAGCAGGGGAAAATAATACACTGATAAAACTGTGAAGCTTCAAAGCGCAACAAATACGCCAAACGATAATGACGATATTCTTAAAAAAATATATCTTGCAAATACGCAGACCAACATGAAACTCCACAACCAAAAATCATACGCCATTGGCAAGATCGACGTTCTACCAACCTCGCCGACAATCATATATTTTCGAGAGTCAAAGAAATAGTTGAGTGCTAAATTGGATCTCGGAATGAATTTATTCTAAACATATATATCAAGCTGGGCGTTGTGGACATAATCATGAAAAAAGGATAAGTATTTAAGTTGTAAAAAGTAAAGTGTTCAAATTTTCAAAGGCGTCTTTCATCGTCTTTCGAGAATAGAAGGAATCACTCTTGGAACGCGCGTGTTTTAATTGTCGCGCAATCATGATAATTAATTCATGTAACAATAACTATAACAATAACATATTATTATTATTATTATTATTATTATTATTATTATTATTATTATTATTATTATTATTATTAAGAATAAGAATTAGAACGAGAACAGGAACAGGAATAGGAATAGGAATAGGAATAGGAATTGGAAACCGTGTGTGACGCCAGCATTCCCGCTTCGCCCGAGAGAGGAGCACCGCTGGTCCACGCATGCCACAGCCACACATCAGGTATTCGGACACGCCGTGTGCCCATGGAAGGGTAGTTCGACCAACCTTCACGACGTCACCTTCACGGTGATGAGTAACGTATAATCCAACCATTTGTATCATTCATTTAATTTATTTTTTGTACAATCAATATACTTCATTTGTCATATCATCCCATCAACGTAGAATATCATTTCATATTAATAAACGTATGTGCAATGAAATTCGAGTAAATTTGTCATCCTCCGCCTCCCTTCTTAATCAGCGCCATCCCTCTCCCCCCCGGGCACCTCACGGTCCGGTGCGGTGTACAAATTACATTGTATAGAGAAGGGCCTTTCAATCTGCTAGTGCCCCTCTCCTCGTTCCAGGTATTCTTCCCCCTTCTCTGTACAGGCATCTTCCCTCCAGCTTCGCTCAGGAACTGTTCTAGCGGGAGCGAAGAGAATGAATTACCCTTTGTTGTTGTTGGCGTGGCAGTACAGTACGCCCAACCTATGGGGTTGTTGACAGGCGTCAAGGGCGGGTCACCCCCGGACAGCTGCAGGTTACTATGGCCGTACTTCAGCGTGGCAGTCTTCGTCTTCCTCCCCCTTAGGCCGGGCCCATGGATTACGACACTGACCTCCAGATCCCCACGGCTCGCGTCGGCGATGACGGATCAGAAATCATCCGTCTCCCGCATCAGGTAATCGCGGACGATCGACAATCGTAGGCGGGATATGTCGGCCTATGGCACGTGACAGCGTGCTACTGTGCACCGATAACTGGATAATGCAGTTCATGGCCAGCGAAAATACTTCCCGTCCCAGGAAATGGTCGAGTATGTCTCCTTTCGTGAGAATATCATGTGATTCGGAGCCAAAACTCTGCGAGATTTCTGAGATAAATTATTGAGGGCCAGCTTCCCTCTGCAAGATTTCTAAAGTAATTTCTAAGGCCACCACTTCCCTCTGCAAAATTGCTAAAGTAATTTCTGAGGGCTCGAATTAACTCTGCAAGATTTCAGAGTTCTTCTTCTCAAGTAAGTCCTGAGAGAGCTGCTCTCCCGAATCATGAAGGCTCGGTACCCTTCCTCTTCTCCAGTGCGAATCCTTCCGATTGTGTGAGATTGAGTTTCGCGGAGTATGGTGGGGCGGAGATTCGACCAATGACGCGAGATCCTTCTTAACAGCCAATTTTGTTGTTTGCCGCCGCGGGCAAACTTTTTCTCGCGGCCGGCAAAAAATCGGCGTGAACCTAATTGCGAAACCGCACGCGCGCCGAGGTTCGCCGAGTCGTATATCTGTCTCCCCAGTGGGTGTAATTGCCGTGTCTCTTTGACATTCCGTCGCGTGAGGAAAAGGGAGTAACCCTCTTGAGAGCTCGGCGGGACGCGGTTGCCGACATAGGTTCCCTCCTTTCAAACGACGAGGAAGCGACCTGTGTCATAAATGACCCTCGCGTCAAGAGAGCAGGAAAGGGACA